CATGATTGTGATTAAAAACTCCTGAGATAATACAGATTTGAAATGAAAAAAATAAGAAGAAAGATACTGGGAATTCTGTTAATAGTATTGTGATTCGTTTTCCTCACGTTTGTATTATTGCGTTGTATGGCGTGGAAGTGGGAGCAAGGGGTATACCAGCTAAATACCTCTATAAATAGCTTAAAGACCTTGCAAGAGCGCTGACGCGTTGCAGGAAGTACTGTGTGCGTTACCCCAGCAAAATAATGTCGAAAATGGTCATTTAAACTTTATAGATAATTAGTTGCTCCCCTTCTGTAATTGTTAAGCACATTTTTAAATTTGTTTCACTTAAACTTTTTTAGTTATTTCAAAAAAACATTTCCTGCTGGGGTAACGTTTGAAACGTTACCGCAGCCAGACATTTTCTTTTTTAATTGTAATATTGAAATAAATTTTAGCTAAATAATTAGTTATCTGGACTAGGTAAATGTTACAACTTATTTGGTATTTGTAGTTTCTTCGGATGCGAAGTTATTCGAAATCCTGCTGGAGTAACGTTTGTGGGTTTGCTGGATCTCTGAAACGGGTAAGCGGATTGTAACCATCTTTTGTACATAACTTCTTAAGGATTAGTTTTAATTTGTTCGACAATAAAATAACAAAAATAATGGACCGTTTAAAAATTATTTAGGTAAGTATGAAAACACTTCAATACGTCCTAACACTTTAAATAAGACCTCTAAAGACTTACTTGAAACGTTATTCTATTGCTTGTAACTACCTTCAAATGTATACGAATTTTCGTAAGAATACTGTAAGTGACTAAAAAGTTATGATGAAATGTAGCTCTCCACGTTCACGATCACAATGTGTGCGGCCTTTTTTGGCCACCGATAAACCTGTGTGTGGATATATAAACTGAATGTTATGCCAATAATTAGTTGTTTAGTTCAGTTGTCTACCTGTAAAATTTAAGCGCAGTACATATAATAATTTACGAGATAATTAAATAAAAGTCATTAGAAGGTGCAAGACCGTGGTAACCCGACCATGTTTGGGTGGTTACAAAAAAGCGATCACCCAGTACATTGCGCTGTCTTTTAAAATGTTTAGTGTAATACACCTTACGATTTCGGTACAGTTGCGTACAGTGTTAAATACATTCAATATTTATTCATTATTATTACCTATTATTTATTTTGTTTTTTTCCCTAATTGATCTTATGCACTAGTTTCTTTACTTAAAATTTATTTAGTCTTTTTTACTACCGGAGCTACAATCAACAGAAAATCTGCACTGGTCCGCTAAAATTATAAATATGTAGATACATGTATGAACGATTCACCTGACTGCAATAAAACGAAAATTTAAACCAATAAGAAATCGTTTCATTTCTTTGATTTTTTTTTGTAAAGAAATAACACAAGTAATTGTATTTTATTTTGGGGTGTAAGTATAGAGCTTAGACTTGAATGCATCAAAATATTTAAATCAACAAGTCATCTACAATTAGTTAAAATAGACCGAATAGTAGAAGAATACAGTTGTAAATTAGAATGCATCAACATTGCATCGCCCAACAGTCGTATACCTCGTAAGAGTAGGTAATATTGTTCTGTGGTCTATACCGAGAACCGAGAATTATCTATACCTATGTACCTACCTGTGACTGTTGATGTCTGTTAAAATCGAAGAGTTGTTGAATGATATTTTGATATAATAACGGTAATTTAATTTATCGAGTGAAAGTGATACATTTTTATAGATAAAATTATTGGTCAGATAATATTTGTCAATCAAGAATCGCTGATAATACATCCTTCGCTAGAACGCGGGAGGGGAGGGGCGAAGGGATACTTCATTGTTTGCAATTTGCATCTAGTGCACTAAAATTGACCCTTAGGCAGATAATATACCTACGTGTTGTAAAGTACGTGTGCGCTTCCGCTTTCTATTTTTGCAAATATTTATCGTATTCTTGAGAGTTCTTCAATATGTGTGTACCTAATTACTAATAATAGGCATTAATGCTAATTCGATTCAATTTAAGTAATTGTCAATTCTTGTCTTAGGATATTAATTACTAATGCTAATATTGAAATTTCGTTCAGGGTGAACAAATTAAAAACGATCATAACTTTTAGGTAGGTATATCACTTATTACTAATTTTACATAAATAATTTATTTTATTATAATTTAAGTCACCGCGATTTTGTGATCAAATATTTTATTTTCTCCAACATTATTACAGAAATAATGCAATACAGAGTTTGTTCGCGATATGCTAGCCTAAGTCGATTCATCACTTAAAAAAATCCCCATCTATTCACAAAATACCTATTTACAACGCATACGTTACACTCTTCAAAACTTATCATTTCATTTCATATTTCTTAAATTACCTATACCTACCCTAAAATTAAACTTCAATTAACAAATACTACGCAGGTACCAATTCTATGAACAACTATAAACAATTCACCTAAACATTACGAGAAAACAAAAGCATTCAAAACAATACCTAATCTGCCGGCTGATTATAATCAGTATTATTAGTAATTACTAATTATGCAATAAACAATCCTAAATAAAAAATATTTAAAAAACATGTAGTTTTTTGTAACACTTATGTACATATCCGTAGTAAACTTGCAAATAATATCCTACATATTTTAAAAGCCAGCACAATGTACTGGGTGATCGCTTTTTTGTAACCACCTAAACATGGTCGGGTTACCACGGTCTTGCACCTTCTAATGACTTTTATTTAATTATCTCGTAAATTATTATATGTACTACGCTGAAATTTTACAGGTAGACAACTGAACTAAACAACTAATTATTGGCATAACATTTAGTTTATATATCCACACACAGGTTTATCGGTGGCCAAAAAAGGCCGCACACATTGTGATCGTGAACGTGGAGAGCTACATTTCATCATAACTTTTTAGTCACTTACAGTATTCTTACGAAAATTCGTATACATTTGAAGGTAGTTACAAGCAATAGAATAACGTTTCAAGTAAGTCTTTAGAGGTCTTATTTAAAGTGTTAGGACGTATTGAAGTGTTTTCATACTTACCTAAATAATTTTTAAACGGTCCATTATTTTTGTTATTTTATTGTCGAACAAATTAAAACTAATCCTTAAGAAGTTATGTACAAAAGATGGTTACAATCCGCTTACCCGTTTCAGAGATCCAGCAAACCCACAAACGTTACTCCAGCAGGATTTCGAATAACTTCGCATCCGACGAAACTACAAATACCAAATAAGTTGTAACATTTACCTAGTCCAGATAACTAATTATTTAGCTAAAATTTATTTCAATATTACAATTAAAAAAGAAAATGTCTGGCTGCGGTAACGTTTCAAACGTTACCCCAGCAGGAAATGTTTTTTTTGAAATAACTAAAAAAGTTTAAGTGAAACAAATTTAAAAATGTGCTTAACAATTACAGAAGGGGAGCAACTAATTATCTATAAAGTTTAAATGACCATTTTCGACATTATTTTGCTGGGGTAACGCACACGGAAGTACTCCCTAAACCTATTCCTGGATCGTAATTCCAAGGCGCTTTCGAAGTCGCATGTGTTTGCCCCCATCTTTAACGCGATGGACCCGGCACCTACACGGTCAATGCATGGAACATTAAGAAATAGGTTTTTTTAAAATATATATTTGTATTATACATATATTGTATTGTAATTTATTTGTTTTATATACATATATCACATTTTATCGAAAAAAAACAATTGATCTCTAGCGGTAGTAATTCTTAATTTTGACGATCGATTCTATTGATACCATAACTAGAATTATCTTGAGAAGCGTCACGCAACAACACTATGCTACAACGCTACACTACTCTACTGTCCTTTGTCTTTTTGTAAAGCAAAAAGTTTAACATAGTGTTGCCAACCTAGTAAATTGTCCACTAACACTGGTAGTTTCGACCCCCCTGTTATTAGCGAAATATAGCTTTTAGTGGCTAGCGGATTTTTCTAGTGGTAAGATTGTAGAGCACTTAAGAGATTTTGTTGAAAGATGAATTGTAAGAACTGTATGTATTCGCAAACCTCAAGAATTTTTGATAAGAAAAGAAAAATGGAGATTGAACGGAAGTGCTCAGGAAGAGAAGGATGATTAATTTTGGGCAATGGGATGTTTAGGTTATTTGCCAGAAAGAGCGAAGGTTATAGAGTTGAGAGAAATGTCAGCAATGTAGGCTATAATTGCCTAAAAATCCAGGATGGTAACTATCATCCTACGGCTAACGTCATCACAAGCTATTGAGTTCAAACGGACAAACAGGACCATCTTTTTGATGTCTCCGGAGGGCACCGGAGAAAAAGCAAAATTGATAATATTGTGTATGGAGTTAAATCTGCTATGTGATAAGTCAAGAATACGCTGTGGGTTGAGGATGCAAAATAAATATGAAATTGCAATAAACATAAATCTGAAACCGACGATGATGGTGCAGACAAAAACGATTCATTTGAAGAAGACCAATTAATTTAAAATAAGTAACTGTTGTACTTGAATATTTTTTTTTATATTCCTGATCTTAATTTGTTGATTTACTATTTTATGTTGATTTATTAAATGTTAGCATTAGTAATACGTAATAAAAAGGAAACTAATATTTATACATAGGTAATAAACAAATGAGTATTATGTATATGGTATTGTTTTTTTCGTAATAACAAAAAAATGTTTATGTCAAGTGGAAAATTTTGCGTCTATTGGAGTAGGACCGTTTTTCGTTATTGGTTTTCTGGTGGTTGTAGATGTTGAACCTGGTGGAGAGTTAATTTAACTGTTGGCAGCACTTGTATAACAACCAAATCACTGAAATCACGACAGATGACAGTGACAGTATTGAGTAGTTTGAGTACGTATTTTTGCTCTGAAAATACTGGTTCTTATTTTGCCTCTCGTTTGACTAGCTGTTCAAACAAGGCGTATTCTATTGTTATAGTAATACATAAGACAGTCAATTTTGGTCATGGTGCATTTTGAAATCATATCTTCACGGACTGTTGAAGGTTTTGAAAAAGATAAGAAATATGTAGCGTATATGCTGCAAGCCAGGCAAGACTCGACAGAATCACGGGTTTTTGATCCAGATCCAGCAAATGTTGAAAGAAGATATACCCACTTCCTTGATCTTTACAATGGTTTAAAGAAAGATTATTCTACTTTATTAAACAACATACCTTTCCCCAGGAAGGTAGGTAAATAGACAATAATTTTAATTGATTTAATTTTTACAATGACTCATTAGCTGTGTATCTTTTGTTTTCACAAACTATATAGGTGTTTATGGCAGATAAAGTGTTGTTTTGATGTTACATTGGAATAGTTTGGTGAAGGTCATAAGACTTGATTCTCTAACTGGTTGTTATAAATTATGATGGACTTGCTAATTTTATATAATGTGACCGAATAAATATCAGGGTCTCCATTTGGCAATTCCTGGTTTTTTTATTTTCTTTCTTTACAATAATTTTTCGTTATTAAATTGACTAAGATCATTTTTCTGCCATATATCTAATAGACACAATGTGAGCATTGTTATGTAGTATATTCTTGGATTCTTGGACTGCAAATGTCCAATGGTGGCGGTAGGCGCTTACCATGACTTGGATAACGGGTGCTCCACCACTGTACACTTCTCAAGACACTTTTTGCCTTGCACAACCAATCTGTGAAACGAGTAGTGGTCTGTGGTGTTTCTGGACCGATATGACCTTCAAGAAGATAAGGAACTCATCCCTTAAAGGCCTGCAACATACTTGTGGCTCCGGAGTTGGTGTCAGGTGATTCCTCTGCCCCTCTTCCAAAAAAAAAACATTAGGTGACCTATCTGCTCATTTGCCTTCTTATAAGGACTTTATAGTCTAACAACTGTTTAGTTTTTATAGATTGAGTATAAGAGATATAGATTGAGTGTGATCCTTCTTTGTTTGTTGCTATTAATCTGCTATAATTTACATTCCAGATTGTGGTAGGTAATTTTGATCCTACATTAATAACAACAAGATGTACTGCATTTGAGTCATTACTGGCGTTGATAGCCAATGATTCACGCTTACGGGATTCCCCAGCTGCCATCACATTCTTCCAGGACCTAGAGTTGAATGAATCTAGAAAACTTATCAATGAAGGCAAATTTGATCAAGCCTTATCATTGTTGGAAACAAGCTTTAAGTTATTAAATAAGGTTTGTGTTTATATAATTATGCTAAATATTATCACATAGTTTTATCAACCATATGGTACTTCCATATGGCAGATAAAAGCAAATGCTTTGTTTTATTTATAAAAGTGCTTTTGATGGTGAATGCACGCAATATTGTAATGTAAGTTCTAGAATTATAAATCAGTTTATGCCTATGGGATTCCCCAGCTGCTATAACAATCTTTCAGAGCTTAGAGTTTAATGAATCTAAAAGGCTTGATGTCAGAAGGTACAAAAGTAGCTACAGTTATTATACATAGCATTCCACTTTTGAAATAATTATCTTATTCCCTTAATATTTCATATATTAGGTCCTTACCTATGAAATTGCCGTTTTGTATGCAATAAGTGAAAGTACTTATTTTTTCAAACTTTTTTATTTCTGTTATTCGAAGTAATCACCCATGCAATCGACGCATCTTTGCCAACGCATTGGCAGTTTATTGATGCCCTTGCATGCCCTTCTTGTAAAAATCAGCTGGACGGGAGGCAACAAACTCTTCAAAGGCATTTTGTACTGCCTCTTTTGTATTGCATACAAAACGGCAATTTCATAGGTAAAGACCTATTATTAATGATCCCTTTTACTAAATCATTTTTCATTACTTGTTTGTTTATTTAATAACTATATCAAACTGGTATAAGTAAATACTACACTTATGCCTACATATATTCTTAACGCTTATCAATTGTTGTATCATTTGCCTTACTTCAATAGTAAATGTTATTGGTTGTAATGATTTTATTGTATCAATCCCTAGGAAGATAATACTTCAAGCCATGTATAACTCATGTATTAATTTTCTTGTATATAAATTAAATTTGAAAGTATTTTTTTCCCAATTTGAAGGTGGTTCTGGTGGTGGGTTGGTTCTATGTTATGAAATGAAAATACTCTTACATTTTTATTTATTTATCAGTTTTGGTTCTTTTGTTGTATTTTTTATTTATATTAAGAAAAGGTTGAGGATATTAAAACTTTAATTTTCTAAATAATTCCAGGTATACACGGACAGATCTCGGGTAGTTTTAGGTGCCTTATGTCGCATCGTTGCGTGCGCAGGCGCTAGTGGCGGCACACTGGCGGGGCCTGTGGAACGTTGGGCGCAACTTGCTCTCAAGAGATACGAAGCTGTCAGTGACTATGATCTACTCCTCATATACGTTCCACTGCTACATACATGTATTTCTATATGGTTAGTCTTTGCCTTATTTACTTATAAGGTTATCAAGCCCTATTGGGTATGTCTGTCTGTGTAATGATGGATGAGAAATTATAGAGTGTCACCATCTGTATTCATGCCGTGGGTGTAGTGTAGGACAACAGCACTGCAGAGAGAAGGAAAGCTTAAAATGATATGATATGATTATATTGATAGATGTCCTACCAATAAAAATTTTCAAGAAACCTAAACACTATTAATATATAATAGTAAACAAAAATATTAAACTCACTAGTTGACTACAGTATACTTATTCAATTGATATATTTGGGGGTAGATATTTCGTGTCATGGTGTTTGTGGTTGCACTCCTTCGAAACGGCTCGACTCTTTTTAATGATTTCTTTTCTATATTTGGTAGGTCGAGAGAAGGTCGTAAAGTATTTTTCACCCTCTTACACCCCATTTTTAATCGTGGTTTTGATTTCTTTGACAGTTTATTTGGCAAAACAACCAGGTCATCTAGTAGTCTACATCATTTATAACCAGTACTATTTCTTTCCAGGGAAGCATTGGGCAAAGACAAGTCAAAATTGGTTGACGAACTTAACGATCTGCGTAAACGTGGCATGAAGGTAGACTCGGTGCCTAGTCTCATGGACGCCGTAGATAACCTAAGTACCAGCGTTTAAGGATAACAGACGAACATTCAGATAGCTTTTAGTATATAACTGCGATGTGAATATTTTCCGACACTTGGACCAAAAAAGTAATTTCCAAAACGTAATCTTTAAGCTTCTTGAGTGAACTATGCAAGTTTATAGAATGTACATAAAATACCAATTTAAACTACTTCGCACATCGTAAAAAATTGAAATATCGATCACTTGTAGATTTTGATCGTATTATTTGTTTTTTTTTATTGGTATGTAATGAAAAAATCAATTACAGCTTAAAGTGATAGAAGCCATAACCGAGTCAATTATGCTTATGGAAATGCCATAAAATGTGAAAATTAAAAATAGCGTATTAGGTATTCTCGACGTATATAATATTAATTTGAGCTAAAAGAGTTCCATGATGGTCTAACTAGTGATGAAAGTAGGGTACTTTTTATTACTTTCCCACACTTTTATCAATAAACTGTTTTAGCTATTTTATAATAAACATTGTGTGCATTACCTTTATGGTAAATTAATATAAAATAGCTAAAATAGTTTATTGATAAAAGTTCTATTGGACAGAGTTCTATATAATAGCAAAGACTACCTGTGCTTAGTCCTAATAGAAAGTCTATTGTTGCTACAATATAAACAAAGTTCTCGCTAGGTTACAATTTCAAAAAAATAGATGTTAACCACATCCGATTAAAAAGTTTCGTTAAATTGAATTTGCAAGATTTTAGATTTAAAAGGATTTAATTTTTAAATTAATAACATTTTGACTATAGATGATAACCTATTTTCTAGATTTCTATAGATGAAATATGTATACAATCTAGATAAACTATAGAAGCCGTTTTAACTGCAAAAAAAGTACACTTTCTCTCACCAGAAATACTCCCAGTTTTTGGAGTTTTTATTGACTGTATCGTAAATAAGCGAAAATGTCCTTTATCCTTGAAATAAAAGAAATTCTTAAGCAGCTTTAGGGCACTTTACATGAAATGAACTTAAATTGCAGAAATATGCTACATGGGCTGTTTATAGTTATTATAAGAGAATCACATATTTCGTCAGTCTGTTCTGACATGCAAAATTATAAACGTACATACATATTATAACAACAGATTGATTTAATAACAAACTACTAAGCTCATGTCAATAAACAATTTACATAATGTCAAATATATAATTGCAATGTCAAATTTTTCAATCCGATAATTTATTTCTAATATAGAACACAACATACAATAAAATATTATCAGATGTTTTTGTAATTATCGCTCATTTAGGTATTCGGTTACTGAGTATATAATTTTTTCCAAAAGCCATATTTTCAATTTCCTTTTAAATTTCAGTAGAGGCAACGTCTTTATGGTTGGTGGCAAGCTATTAAATATTTTGATACACATATTATAAACAATTTTTTACAAATTGTTCCTCAACACAAAGCTCTCTTCTACTTGAGCTAATAACTATACTTGTTCTATATTTAAATGAAATTACAATTTAGGAGTATTCTACCCGTTTGGTAGCTCCCGGTTTGGCTAGCATGTGGTGGAAAATTGTAAAGATTTTTTTTACTGACGCTCTTTCATACAAATCTCGCATGGATTGATCTCGATTATAAAATATTTAAATATAAAAAATACTTTTATATCAACTTTATATACATAGAGACAGACATTGAAATGTTATTCATTTCTTTTTTGGACGATTCATAATAGCTATTACGAAGTATATGGTATAAAAATACTTCTAAATGTAAATCTCTCTTTGTCTTTTGTTTATTTTCTTTCTGCCTTTTTTTTTCTTAATCTATTATCATTTTTATTATGTATCCCATTAATGATAAGAAAGGATTGATTTCATATTATGTGATTTGTTTAAATATTTAGTTTTGTATAGGTAAATGTTTAATATTGTCAACAAATAATCTCTATAAATTACTTTTAATTCGTAAGGACTAACAACTTGCATCATTAGCTTATAATGTTATCATACGTTTTTTTAAATAGTTTTATTTAAAAAAAGGAAGAAATGTATGTTGAGTTATTTTTAAGTCGTGTAAACTATTTTTTTTTTCAATGAATGGAATGTAACCTCATGCGATTCATTGAAAAAAAATAGTTTAGTGTTCTAAGTTATTAATTTTCTAAACCATCCAAACACATACATTTCCACAACTGAAAAGTATAAAAGTAGGAAGAAAAACACATGTGATTATACCTACCTACCTAAGTATATCGATTAAGGTTCTTTTTGGAGATTGTGTTTTTATTATTAAAACGACTGATGAAGTCAATTCCCTAGACTAAAGTTTTTGATGAGTATTAATAGTAAAAGTCTCGACTCTAGGGCAAAGCTGTTACAAAATTTAATCAAATCCTTTATAACTTAAATCTGCTTAACATGTCACAAAAACACTAAGTGTTAAAAAACCGTTGAAAACCGAAAGCTTCGAAAACATAAAATTTAGACGCAAAAAAATGCCAACCTTTGTATTTACTTTATCGTTTTTATTTTATTACCTGTATTGTACACCTGTAATATGGAATCAAGGAATAGTTTCCATCCTGTTACATTTCAGTAGAAAAATGTTTTAATATGTAAAACCTTAAATAAGCATTTTGACTTACAGTTGTGCTTACTACTAGATAAAGAATAAGGTGTGGAATGTACTACAGAAGAATATTAAAATGGTGTTTTCGGGAATTGTAATGGCAGTTGCCATTACAATTCCCGAAATCACCATTCGTTTATCGTATATATTCGTTAAAGGATTTAAGCATAGAACACGATTAATATAATTTTAGTGAAATTTTAAAATACGCATATTGTTTTAAACATGATTGTAATATTAACTAATAAAATGTATTGCTATAGTGAGAATAGATTATGCTAGATGTGCCTAGAAGAGTTATAAATTATACAAAAATTATTTTAATGATCTGAAAATGATGACCTACATTGAATTGAATGTCAGGTCTAGCACGGACTGTTATTTTTAGTTACAAATAGGCACCATAATATGTACCTTCAAATTTTTGTTAATGGTGGATATCATCATTTCTTTTCATATTTTATTTAGGCAAATGTGTACTGTTAAGAATAGAAGACGTTGATTTTTATTCATTTTACTTATGGACATCTTTTACAGCTTTCAAAATAAAAACAAGTCGTTACAAGCAACTGGAAGTTAATTAATCGATTGATCTATCAATAGATGGACTTCGGCTTTCTTTTTTCTAGTTTACATCATTTTCTTTTTGCTCATTTCTAATTCTTATTTTTTTATCCAGTTATTGGTGGGTTATTATATAAATGTATTTGTTTAATTAATTATTTTATTCGTGCAATGGGAGAGGCCTATGTCCAGCAGTGGACTGCGATAGGCTGATGATGATTCGTTTTATATAAACTAATGTATAGTGGGCATCTATAAGTAGATTATTATCAATGTAGTAGTTATGAGTAAAATTGTTTAGTCAAGGTGCATCTAAAATAGTTAGCATCTTATATTGCATAATATTGCAAATTATAAACATTAAACCATAGAGTTGCTAATCATTAGATTTTATTTATTTTTTGTTTAAAAATATACTACGTTTTTTTAATCAAGAGCTTTGAGATATTGTCTATGATATTGTTTATAAATATTTATAAAGTTAAGATGACTGATATTTTATACATTTGTAGCCATTATAGAATGCAATAAAAATAAAATCATACACCAAAGTAGATATTTTATTTTAAAGAACGTCAACCTAAGAACTATCGTCTACCGAATCCGTGGACAATCGCTATAAACTATATGAAACAAATCAATTACGAGGTGATAACTTTACTACATATTGCATTTCATTTATATAATTTTGTGAGACATGGTGGTTACAAATGTCAATTCTATTAGGTACAAGCTAAGTCCCGCCGATAGGCAAACAAAATTAGAATATTGCATTGTAAGCGTACAGGCAACGACAAAAGTAGATGATCAAAAACGGATTGTAGACCACACCAATGGATCGATAGTTGGAGCAAAACTAGGTAGTGCTACAATGTTACAAAACTAAGTGATTAAATAAAGTTAGCTGATTGAACTGTCACCAAAAGTTAATCAACTAACATGTTTTAAAATAATTAGCTGATCGAACTGTTGCCAAAAGTTGATGATTAAAGACGTTACAAAATAACCGATAGTCTTAAAAATCATAACTTCATGAATATTTTGTTCCTAGCATTTTTGAGGAACTAAAGCTAACGTCCAAAAGAAACTAGTGAAGTTGAAGTATGCATACGAAACGGGGCACTTTTTTCCACTTGTGGAAATCCTCCCGGATACCACACCACTCTCGAGCTGACTAAATGTCCACTACCTCATCGCTCGGTGTCCACTCATTGTCGACAGGTGGTCCACCAGTAAACGTCTGGTGATCCATTGGATGCCACCGCATTAACCACTAAATGTCCCGTGGTCACCTAGTGGACATTGCGCTTAGAAGTGATCCGTGACCCTTACCCTGATACCTCCTCATTCCACCAGATTTCGGAAGTTTCATTAGGCGATGTTTTTTCTTGTCAAAATGTTTCTAAGTGTATATTGAGGAATAAAGACTTAGAAACATTGCACTATGCCCCGTTTCATAACATGGGACACTGAGAGTGTCTTACCTTGCTGCTTTGATCCTTTGTAATGTATTTAATCACTTTGTTTTGTAACATTATAGCACTACTTAATTTTTCTCCAACTATCGTTCAGTAGTTTTGACAATCCGTTTTTGATCATCTACTTTTGTCGTTGACTGTACTTATATGTTTTACAAACTTTTTGCATAAGCTCAAATGTGGGAAGTTTTTGATAATGTTCATAATATACACTATACTATAATTAATTTGTAATTAAAAAAACTAATGAACTATATCTTGTCGAACGAATAATTCTCTTAGTTAAAATACACATAAACTTCCTCAACATTTAACACTAAAATGCCTCAAAACATTTTATAGAACTACCAAGGCACTGGTTTTCTCCTCACACAATACACCTAGCAACCAGTTGTCATGAAAAAGTAGTACCTGGATGTGGCCGTATTTTCTCTGGATAAAAAAGTTATTGTCAGTTAATTTCAACTTCTTTGATGTGTATAATAGAGCATGAGTACTGGATATTGGTGTCTATGTATTGTGTAGTCAAAACCGTAGTAGTGAGTATCCTAGGCGTACCCAGCATTTACTTACGGGTGGGAAACATTAAGGAAACTAGATATATTACGAGGAAGCAGGTAAATTAGGTAAAACGTTGCTCTAAAGATACAACTAAAGAATCAAGGTACAATGAATCGTACTAATGATGGCCGGAACTCCACCGGTGGACCTGGATGCGAGAGCCCTTGCGGCTATGTATCAGTGGCGCAGAGTCCTCAATTTCAGGACCGGAAATCCCAACTCCACCGGGTCCTCGTAGAGGAGTGGAAGGAACGGCTTAGGCAACCGAGCGCCGGGCACGCCGCTGTCGCGGCGGTAAGACCCGTTAAGGAGGATTGGCACGAGAGGCATCACAGGACCCTCTCATGTGACGCAGATGATCACTGCGAAAGGATGCTTCGGAGCTCACCTGTGCTTGGTCCGAAAGGAGCCAAGCACAGGTTACCCTACTCTTGTAGTATATACCGGTAGTCTAAGTATAATAATAATATAGTTAATTATTGTACACTAAAACCACATTAGTATCAATATTGCACCCGTGGGAAGCTAGGGCGGTTCGCTAGTTAGCTATAATTCCAGAGAAACTGTTCGCCGATGTTACCGGCACATTCAGATATTTTAAATTTATTAGATATTGAAATTGAAATGAACGTAAAAGAACTTTCGCTGTGTAACGATAACCCGCTTCGAAAGTAGATCTGTTGATTTTTGTTAGATGGCGCTGGTTTAACTATCATAGGCTACTATTTCTTTTCTTTGAAATTCAACTTGTGTTCATTTTAATTCTTATGTTGACTAGCCACAGATGTTGTAGTTGTTGCATAGCTGCTAGTCAAATCATTATCAGTAAAAATTCTTTCAAAATTCAAGTTATTACTTAAAGTGGAAACTTGGCATGCAATATTCATAATTTAAGTATTTCAATACCCTTACTAATAATGCATGGTGCCGCTTTGTCATGAAGCCGTAATATACCTAATCAATTTCGTAAATTGATTGGGGATTCACCAAAACAATTTGCCCTTCATAAAGGTAAATTAATTCCGTTCCAATTATTGGAAGGGCCCTCGATTGCGGTGAAGTGGTTCCTTCATTATTGTTTGGTAGTAACATTCACTGTTTGCCGAGGAGCAGTTGGTTAATGTTCCCATGCCATTTCAGTCGACTGGACTCATATTTTGTAGGCATTTGGAACTAAGTACGAGTGCTGACATCAATTATTGATGCTCACGGACATTTTTTTTTAATTTCTAACATTTTCGTAGAACCCTTTATTCTTACTACTATAACTAATTAGTAAACTGATTACCTAATTTCTCAAAAATATAAAACATTGTAGTAAAATTATGTCTCTAATTTTAAATTAGCAGAATCAACAAGACAATATACTTAGGTATAGGTACCAGCACCGATCTTGAGCGCTGACTTTCACCTGTGCAGAAGTCGATATTTGGGTCCCTTTTAAGGTATGAAACAAAATTAATATGTACTTACGTTTTTTATTTAATTAATTAATTAACTATTATCAAGACCATTTTTTTAATTAGCATTTAGTCTGTTATTGAATTTAGATTAATAGTCACAAAGACAGAGCCAACAAAAATATTAAGTACTACTTATTAGGTAACAAGCAAATAACGAATTCCTTAGCTAAAAGTGTTTTATTTCTTATTTTTAATACATTAAAATCCTCACAATCGGCTTTCCTTATAAAAAGATTACGTTACCCTAATATCCTCACCAAATACCTATAAATTAATTTTACTAAAATACTCTTAAAATTTAAAAAGGTGATTAGATACTCATTGTTTTCTCCATTGCTAGTATATTCTAAAGGGTATTCTAAAACTTAACTGTCTGTATCAACTTTATGCGCTGCTGGGGGCTCAGTCACGCGACGCCACAACCCTCAAATCGCCTAATTGATTTGCGTGGTCTGACTCCTTAGACGTTGCGACCACTTAGTATCCGCAGGGAGTTGTTCAATCTAGCCTGTCGCCTGCTTGTTAATTCTCTGACAGAGCTTTTAGTGACATGGAATTTGTAGATACCTATCTAGCTTTTTATCATGTAACTTATTGAATTACTAGCTATTGGCCACGACGTAATTATTTCATGTTTCGTGTCTCTAACTTTGAAAATTATTAACTTCCATACAAATGGTCATTGGTCATTTCTAAAAATTTGTTCGAAATGGAATATTATAAATTTCTATCGTAGTTGAAATAGTTGTCCGGCCCAAACGTAGTATTATCTTTTTGACGTGGTAATTCATTTCGAGAAAAAATATTCACAGTAGATGACACAAATAATAAAATTTAAAAAAGTCTTGCTTTATCATTTATAGAACCGTGTCACAGCAGCACCTAGTTGTCCAATCATAAACCTAATCCTTTTAGGGACCCGTTAATTCACATATGCAAACATAATATGTCTGAAATGTATCTCAAGCTGTGCCTATTTTCGCGACATAAAATTCAAAAACGTATAAACCTCAAAGTTATATTATTTATTTGAGTTTTTCGTTTTTAATTATTTCAGGAAAATGAAATGAAGCCATTTTTGTGTTTTTGATGAGATTGATACTTCCAAAAAAACTATATTTAAAACAAAAAGTATAGTACTAAGTTCCTTATTTTTTAATATTAAATTGAATAAGCAATTAATTTAACAATTAATTTGAATGGTGAGAGGACTGTAAAATACAAAATGATGCACAATTATAAAAATACAAAAAATAGGTTTATATTTGAAGGTACGTGTTACGCTGCAAGAAACCCTAAAAAGCGCCGGTGTAGATGCAGGCTGCAGGCTTTTAGTTTCTTATTCCTTTCGTTACACAGCATGGGAAATCACCATTATTGTGTCATCAATGGTTGGTCATCTGGCGGTATTGAGAACCCCTGTAACGACTTAAAAGCTATATGCAAATAAATAAAAAGACTAAAAGTACTTATCATAACCACTCATTCCAACTCATCGTTATAAAAATTGAGAATTGCGTTTGAGTTACATTTGCTTATTTATTATTTACATTTACATTATTTAACGATACAGATTGAAAAAATATATTATTATAATACGAGTACAACAATATTTCACGCATCGGGTTTAAATGACTTTTTTAATGACTTTAAAACAAGGACCTCATTACAAAATCTCTGCAACGGTTGACGAATCGTAGGTGACACTTGATATTACCACGATATTTTTGTTCCTTGCTCTTGTCGTTGACTTATATCTAAGTACAAGTTATCATAATCCACATCATCATTATAAATAATTATAATTTATGGTGGATTCAATGGATGAAAGTTTGAATCTTTTTATTATTAATCTAATTTCTCTCTTATCTCATTTACAACTAATAAAAATAATTCTTAATTTCTTTCATAGAAATAGTTAAATAAAACTTGCAGCAAGATTTTCTTTAATCTTTTTACTATCAAGCTTTTCTAATTTTCCATCATATGAAAATCAGGAGAGGTTTTTCATTACAGGTTCTGAAGGAAGGCAGGTAAAGATGTCCTTTAAGAAGCAACTTTATTTTAAACGCGGCTTGTAACCGCCATAAATCAGCCGTTCAGAATTTACGACGGACCTCCGCAAATCGGTTTATATTTTCGATAAATAAAATTGGCGCGGGTTTTGCGAGGTAAGCAGAGGCCGTTAGGAGCGCGTCGCCGCCCGGCGCCGGTGCCGCCAGCTGCCGCGTGCACATAAACCCGACTACCCTCGCGTTTTCTTGCTGACAATTTTTTCCTGCTCCGGTCATTACGCAGCTGGGCCCGAGACAAAACGGCGAATCGTTTAAGCTCTCTCCGGAGACCGTCCAATTTTATTGTGTGTACCTAGTCGAAATTGATATGCCGCGCGAGTGGTGCGTCGTCGGCTCTCTACATATGACGGACACACGTTTTCCGCGGGACCATTTGCTGCCTCGCAAATTTCGGTTACTCACCCTTGTAAATATCCTTGTAGCTTATTGTATGATCTTTTATAGTAATTATAAGATATTTACATATGTCGATAACACTAACGATTAACTATACTTTATTTGTACATGTGCCTACAACACATTTGCAACTGCTGTCTAACTTTGCCTTCAGTGAACATAATCTATAGATTCAACGGAAAAGTTTGTTTCATTTAATAAAATGTGATAACTTTTTCATAAATAAGATAAGAATAAACAAAGTTTTAGACCTATCAGTCATAATCTAGATTTCAGATACCCATAGACTATTAAAATATTATTAAAAAAAACTAATGACAATCAGTCGTTCAACCAAATTACAAACGATGTCAGTGTTTAAATATATCTATTGAACCTGTCCGAAATACTAAAATCATTTAAAATATTATGATTTCGCGTTATGATAGATTACAATTCAAATAAAATGTTGGTTAATTTACCGGAGCAATGTTGACTGACAGATTCAAATATGATCCAACAGTTATAGTAGGGGCAACGCTGGTGTTTGGTTTACCGCTAACGTTACTGTTTCCCAGTTTCTCGGTGTGGGACGTGGTGCCCAAGGTGCGGGTCGAGCGTCTCCACTTCATCGAACAAGACCTCACCTGGTCTCAGAGCAATACTACTCTTGTAACTATCCTGGCGCTTTTCTTCTGCCTGTTTCTTGAAATGCGCAAACGCAAGTATGTACCGTCTTGTTTTTGCTTTTTTGCATAAGTGACATACGAGCAGCCATTAGAAAACTCGCTAAATACTTCCAAATTACAGCGCCTCACAGTGTTGTGTTTGTTTCGATGTGTATGTTTTTCTTAAAAAACCTTTTTAAAGTGATTTGCCTAACTAAAAACTTGATGTGTTTTGTAGTCATTATTATAAACTATAAAATTCAATTACAATTGAGTTAGTTATTTGTCAAGTTAAATTTATTTATAAAGTATTCCAATAATGGATAATTTAGGTTTTGTTTGCATTAAAGTTCTTGAAATCGGTAGAAGCCACACATCAGCAACCTCGGGAGGAAGGAGTATAAAGGAGTAAAACAAAATATTTTTTATCTTTTAGGTTAGATGCCATGGTTGACAAGGTACTGATGTTAAGTCAAGCAGCTGATGCAACCATGGAGGTGGAGCAGAGCCGCCAAGCTGCCGCAGTCCGTGTATGCTTACAACTTTTAGACGCCTCTACAGAACACTACGAGAACTTGGTTGTCCTTCGTGACGAGTTACGCAAAAGAGACAAATTGAATTTTCAGGCTCCGCCGGTAATAGAGCTTAGTTCTAGTGTAATATAGTATTCGCAGATTTCTTATATCATTTCTTGTGACTAACAAGGGCTTAATACTAAAACAAATCAAAATAATGTACGTCGCAGAGTCCTATTTTGTCAAATGTCCGTTTGAATTTTGTGTGAAATAGTGTTTTTGTACAAAAATTACTTTTCTATAAGATTTATTTCATTGTTTGACAATGTGTATTGTAGTTTGAAAAACAAAAGATAAGTATTTATACAATAAACAAACATGATAGCAATAAACTTAATGTGCAATATTCTTTCCGTTTAAAGATAATATTGTTACTTCTTAAAATAAAATTTGTCTTATTTAGAAACCTCGCAGAGAAATGACGATTATTGTTACACTAGCTGACCCGCGCAACTTCGTCTGCGTCTCTCAATAGTAATAAATTTTCTCCGTTTTTGAAACATTCTTCATTGGTGCTCCGCTCCTATTAGTCTTAGCGTGATGATATATAGCCTATAGCCTTCCTCGATAAATGGGCTATCTAACACTGAAAGAATTTTTCAAATCGGACCAGTAGTTCCTGAGATTAGTGCGTTCAAACAAACAAACAAACAAACAAACTCTTCACCTTTATAATATTAGTATAGATTAGTGATACAATTTGATCAAGGTGTTGTGTCGAAACATGTCTTTTAGCGTGGGCGTTAGCATCTGAATAATGACCATATTTTTATTCTATCACTTACAATTAATTGATAATTAATGATGTTTATTATATGTACATAGAAATCTTCAGTTATTTACCTACCAGTGGACACAAACAACTGATTTCTATTGTAATCAAATCCATTTGATTCCGAAGTCAGACATGAAAATCCTCAATCTACGGCATGTTCTGATACCATTTCTAGCGACCTGATTAATTTTAATTCTATAAAAGGGATGAATGAATCGGGATGGGGATAACAGGCCCTAATCTCCAAGAGGTCTAAAGAGAGTGAATACCCTGAGAGTGAACTACAGGGTAGTTTTTTTTTATGAGAGCTGAAAAGATAACCTGAGCCCTCGTTTAGGATTGCAGTTTAAGCCAATCCGAGTTATATGCCAATCAATATTGATCGCTTTTATAGGATGCAGTACTCGATCACGCGAACTCTGATTCTGGAAAGAAAAGTTTTTGTTGCATTAAGAGTTCTATGTTTTTGGGTTACATTGACATTCGATTTTGTCTAAAAGTAGAGTTAAAGGTAAGTGATTCGATGGCAGGAATGCGTGGTGGTCTGTGTAATAGACTGCTATGCCAAAAGTGCATGAACATTTAATGTTTGATTTGGTCTGGATGTATAGAAGCATCGAGACTAAATCAAAATTTAAATAAAATGTGTTTCCAAAAAAAGTATATATGTATTTATATCACTTGTCTAGTACTCATATTAAAAGCTCTGCTTAGATTGGGACTAGATGCCGTTGTGTGAATGTACTAGAATATTATTAATATTTTATTATTATTTGAGCGTATTATATGAGTCGGATAATAGAGATAAAACTAAATGGTTTATGGAAAGTATACCTATATCAATGTATGTTATATGGACTTTGTAAACTTATTTATGCATTTCAATTACTGTAAGTGATAAATGTGCTAACCTCAGTTACAACTTAAGTTACAAACATTGTGAACTTATCGCAGTTTGAGAATAGTTCTTTGTAATCTAGAGGACTCGAACTTTGTAATCTTTTAAATCGTTCACAATACTTTGGGTTTGTGACGACTTTCACGTATAATGAGACAAAAAACATATTTCAGTACCATCTAAAGAAGACACATCAAACTCCGGAGTAACTACTAATCCTGTATCGCGATAAGAAAAGTTTTGACGTCGATTAGTATACAATTTTCGAACATCAACTATTAGGCATGATCACCTCGCCAGGCCGGAGGAGACCTTCTTGTTGGTGGGACATATTCCTCCACAGCTTGATACAATTCCAACTTGTAAGTGAAAGGTTTAAAATTTATGGTTACTGTTAATTCACCATCTCAAATCTAATTTCCTCCGGTTGAAAACCTATTTTCATATTAAAGAATTTGAAAGCGAGTTTTATATTTCTACTTGACTTTTATTAATAATTAATTTCGATCGACCAATAGTGCATATTTAAAAGCTTCTGTATACAAAGTACCTGTTTATGTATTTCAGTAATAAAACTCTGATGACCACTAAGATTTTTATTCAAGTGGTTCAGTCCTAGAAGTGTTCATTAAAGCAAGGCAATGGCCTAAGGCTCTCGCGGGAAGTTGGCGACGCGAAAAACCAATCTGGAGCTAGCAATTATGGCAAATGACCTAATTAGAGCTCGCCGGTGCGCCTGGCCTGGCTCGCCACCGCAACATTCTTCACCTCCCCGTTCTTTGCGGTCTCCCAAAGAATTGGCTTTAAATAAGTGTCGAATTACATTCTTTTGTGTTGGATCCTATGAACGGTACAAATTAGGCTTACTTTTGTCAGAATGGCTACTGAGATAAACACTTTTTTTGAAAATAATAATTTCAAAGCTATTTTACTACGACATTTAATTTGTGTAAGAAGTTATTAATACTATTTTTTTTTTAACAACTTTTTGTTCAGATAGCCTATGCTCGTAGATTGTTAATTTAAACCCAAGATCTAAATGGGTCTAACTTTAAAACTAAACTTGACACCAAACAAAGTTTCAAGGTTTTGTTTCAATCTAACCCCATGTTCTTTGTAATGAATTAATCGTGAAGGAAGTGAGTAGTAAGAGTTAATAGTGGATTTGAGTTGATGTTACTCTGTGGTTGATATTCTGTGTTCTACACGCAGATTTATAAAATTAGGCTTACAAAAACCTATTTCAGTACCATCTAAGGAAGACATCAATCTAATCCTGTATCGCGATAAGAAAAGTTTTGACGTCGATTACCCGGATATAGTATTGTACTGTAGTGATTCTGACCTATGTGGGGTACTAAAAGACGATACAAAATATTTCACATATGTTTTTTTATGAGATAGGAAGCAAACGAGAAGACCGTTGACCTGATGGAAACTGAATACCGCTGCCCACGGTCTTCTGCAACTCAGGAGTCATAAGTCACTAAGTGAAAAGTGAAAAGCATGTGATTAGAAACGCAATAGGTAAGATATTCTCCTGACGCTGCTCCCGTCATTTCGCCGCATGTCCCGTGATTAGTAAAGGGGAACATTGCAGTAGAAAGCGAAAACGTTCGCTGTGGAACCGAAAAATCTGAATCTAGAAGCAACAAGAATGTCATGACATCTGCCTCGAAAGAAATACTCGAATTAGCATACAAAATCTTTAGGTATTACATTTATTTATGGTCAATCAATTTAGCACTTATTGATTTATAGCAAGAGTTCAAAAAGGTTAAGTTAATTTTTCTGTAGAAAAATGTTTAAGCCTTCATTTTATCATTTTGAGAAAATATAATACTTTCTATGCGTAAACATTTTCAGTGTCGTACAGTGCGGTGGGCTCGTGTTTTTTTAATATTACTCGCGTTTAGGTATGTGACCTTTGTCAATCATATGTAGGCAAAATCAAAACTAGCGAAATTCAAGTAGAGAAAACTTAAAACGACTTACCTAGTCATAATAACATCATTTCACAAAGTTTTATTTCCATCATACTGATTAAAACAGTTTTTTAATTTCTTATATTGTTTAATTTGGTCGTCTGTTGAACATCACATTGTATTTAGTTTATTTCAACGACAGTTTTTTCAGCTTGTGGTCGTTAATCGCGACTAAATAAGCTCGAGAGCCATGTCTGCGTGCAATTTTGTAAGGACTCTTTAAATTAAGAAGACATTAACGAAAAGTTTTGCATGATGAATTGTCTCAAATCCGAGCTTCAAGCAGAATTAGAGACGCCGCATTTGTTGTAAGTACTTTCGTGAAGACATATGAGACTGAAATATTTAATTATTCGATTATATATACCTACATAGGTTCTATACGCCTACCTTCTGGTAGGCAGTAGGTGCGGATACCACAAATACAATTTTCGCTCGCAGACATATTTATTTGTGGAGTGTTGGCGGCGGCCCCGCTGTGGTGTTAGCGGCATAAGCGAGTCTTCCTCTATTTTCATTAGACGGATCCGCCGGGAGCGGATCAGCCGCTCACAAAAATAAATAAAACTGTTATTGAGATAAGCATCTGCGCAGCGAGGCTTTTCGCTAAGTCCCGTTGTGTCGCGCTGAGCAATGTACCGAGATATGTTCGGATTACGGCGCGCCGCAGCTCTGTGCGCTTTTCTTCATATCTACCGCTTTTCTTCAGTGTTTTGCAGCTGGAACCCATTTAAAAAAATATCTTTCGCGTTTCTTAGGCATTTTGAGTTGTAAACTTGGTAACTTATTATTAAAAACAATCTTCTAAGAAAACACCTGGGATTGCTATGATATTAGAGATGCAAGATATAAAAATAATTTAAAAAAGAAATCCTTTTGTAGGTGTACTTAGAAAACGACATTAAGCGTATAATGTGCTTATAGTTAATGTGTTGTAGTTGAATAGTTGTAGACATACGTTTTAATAGATGTGGGCTTTACTTTCATGAAGGCGTGGGCGGCTTATTGCTGCGGCAAATTGGCCGCGTACCGCACCTGCGGCTACTCCTGCACACCCCCGGATTAATTTCTCATCACACCGGCTATCTTCTCGGGAAATAATGAACGTCCGACATCCTCCGAGAAAAATGCTATTAAGCCCAGAAATGTCCTTCTAGTTGATTAATAAACTCGGTACCGCCGAGGTACCTTGTTGTGGTCCACATTTTAATACACACTTGTGTTTACTTGGGATTGAATATATTTGTATACGTAATTTACAAAAGTGTTTATAAAAGATACGTTGTTTGACTGCACGGATGGCGTAATGATTTGAGCGGTTATTTCTAAATGTTGTGGGTCTGATTCCCACATGGGATAATACTTTGTGTGATCCACAAATTGTTGTTCTGGTTATGGATGTTCTTTGTGTCCGTTTCATCTATGTTTGTAA